GTGCATGATCCAACAAAAAGCTAGGGTTTTCAAATTTTCAATGTGCAGTAGACCGATTCTTAAATGTACATAAGGTATTTGCATTCGGCGAGCTTCGCCGACTCGGCAATGCACCCAAGGAACGCCGTTGAGAGAAGCAAGGAGATATACGTTTGATTTTTTTGTGAGAAGAGCTCGGTCCGGAGCTACCGACAACAGCATTGTCATCCGGTGCATTTGTCACCGGTGGTTTCTGGTTGTCAAGCGTGCGGGATGCGCCGAGACACCCACTATTATCGGCCGAGGTCTCAAAGTGGAACCGCGTCCGGGTTCCGTAGACAGAGCGGGGAAGGGCACGAGTCTTCGTGGAGGAATGTTCAGGCGGAATGGCAGGGCGAACCTTCGGTCAATGCTTCATTTGGCAGCTACATCTTTGTGAATACCACCGTGTCATTGAAACCCGGCTCAACCGAGAGGTCTAGAGTGACGATCCCAGAACTACCTAGTCAGACTAATTCACCGCACAACCCATCATCTCGATGTCTAAGACAGAGGAAGCTCATTTGGAAACCAGCTTGCATGCATATGCTGGTGCTTAGTATTACCGTTACTGTCCTCGTGGGATCGGTCGCACTGGGTGCCATGGGACGAACAACTCACGGGTGATTCCCGTTGAGGTACATGTTCATGCATGATCGCACTATCACCGCGCGGGTTGTAATACGATGCGATGGAGCCAACTGCCTTCCTTGGGTTTTACGCCCGAAGGTTGCGGGGCCAGACAACCGCTTCGGGGCGGGAACATCCCGACCCAGAGCCGATCTGTGGAGAGTCTGCAGGTACTGTAGCATTTGCATCGAAAGACATCGGATCCCGCCGGCTATTATCTCAGCCAGGCTCTGTTTGTTTGGTGGGCCAACGCCAACTACATAGTCATTGTTGGCTGTTTTCTACTACCCCTCTTCTCGGACCACTCTCACATCGGGGCTTCCATGTAACCATGCTTAAATGAACTGCCAAAAAGCTTCAAAGGCTCCACGTATAGGACCAAGGAAGGGCATGCTTTGTCACATTCTAATCAGCCGCCGAGAGTCTAGAAACTTGTAAACAACAGGTAAATCGCAATTGACGGATGCGATCTGCTTCCGAATAGAAGTTGTGACAATGACATATGGAGTGGCCAAGACATAAATACCAGCCAGAAGTCCGCAGCCATCCTGTACACTCTATCCTCATCATCACAAGCTCAGACATCAAACTGCATCACCTTTGACACAACCCCATTGTCAAACATCTCCCGACCGCCATCATGCAGTTTACCATTCTTTCTCTTGCCACATTGGCCTCTTGTGCCGCTGCGCAATTCTGTGGTGTCGTCACTTCTCCCGCTCAGAGCTACATCCCCTGCGAGTCAGAGCAATTCCCCGCCATGGACGCTGCCTGTACCGCCATTGGAGGTACTGTGTCCGGTCACAACCGAGAAGTCGGCAACCAACTCTCCAACTGCATCACCTACTGCAACAATGTCCCCGCCGGTGGACACGACACCAACGGCCTCGCCGGCCGCTGGAACTACCACCTCTACGTTGTCGATTCGTGCAGCAGTTGCGGATACTGCGGCGGCCAGTAGACGTCGCTGAATCTTCACTCGATCGGCCCGTGCTGGTCACCATGAGAGCGCAGGCCAGACTGGTAGAACACCAGAACACAGCGATTCGGTGACATTGTTCTCGAGATCGAGTCACTAGGTATCGAAATTTTCATGTACATACTACGACCTGCAAATACAGTTGGAAGTGCAACATTCAAGTTTCCATCACATGAACAGTGACAGTTTGTGGAGAGTACATACAATCTATTCTCATATCCTAGCTCCTCCAGCTTTGATCGCAAGTCGTTGCGTACAATAACGCGGCAGGACAACATGAGATACATTAGCCTTGCGGATGTGATAACCAAACAGTCTAAGATTTCCTTCCATTAACACCGTAGTCGCGTGATTCTCAATGTGTCCTACGAGAGTTATAACTCCACAGTGCATGACACCAAGGTCAGAAGACGCCCTCAATCCCAAGAGATGAGACTTCTAGGCTCTACCCGAACGCAGAAGCCTCGGGGCTTCACGAACCACGCATTAGCGGTCGTCCAAGACCCCCCAGGTGCTGCCGCGTCTCCGTCAATCTTGAAGTCGAAATCCCGGATAATTCTCGGGATCAGTTTTGTCATCTCCAAGATGGAAACATTCTTTCCCAAGCACGTCCTCGATCCCAAGCCGAACTATTTCAAAATTAGACAAATCACTAGTTGAAAGGCTTGGAGAACCACAATTACCGGCATCCAGTTTCGGTTCATCAGGGAAAGCTTGTCTTCGTCGTCGATGAGCCAACGCTCAGGGCAGAACTTATCAGCATCCTGACCGAAGATACTCTTGTTGTGATGTTGGACCCAGCTGTTAATGCCAACGACAGACTAAAAGGTAACAAAATCAAGTTAGCAGAATATTTCGTTCCCTCAAACATCATCAGTACATACACCTTCGGGGAAGAAACGGTCGGCAATGGTGGCGCCTCCCTCAGGAACGACTCGCTCCAACGGCAGGCCGACCGCAGGGTGCATACGCAACGCCTCCTTGATGACAGCCTGCAGGTAAGGCATGTCCTGACCCTGCTTGAACGTGGGATTCTCCGAAAGCTCGCCCCGGCTGCTGAAGTCGTCGATCTCGGCACGCAATTTTGTGATGCAATCCGGGTTCCTCAGAAGATGGTACAGGGTTCCGGAAAGACTGATGCCGGTTGTGTCTGAGCCCGCAAACATATTGGTTGCGCAGCCTATGAGAATGTGGTAATTGGTAAAGGCATCGGGGTCCTCGGAGTGTTTGGCAAGATACTTCCTCAGGAAAGTCTCACCGACCCCAGCGTCTTCAACGTCGGTTTTTGACTCAGCCACTGACTTGGGTGCAGCTCGCTCTTCCGTGATCCTGCTCTGAGTGAAGTTCATCACATACATGATACGGTCAGTTCGGAAAAGAGGACCCATGGCTGAAAGAAGCGGGGCAATATATCGATGGAACGAGGGGAAAATTCCAGCGAGGCTTGAGTAGACCAAGCTGGCGTCAAGGTTCTCAATAACTTTGCCAATATCATCGCCGCGGTCTAGGAAGCCTAGTCGCTTGCCATACGTGATGTATGCAACGGCATCAAAGGCAAAGCACTGGAACCAGTGGCCGATGTCGACGGCGGAACCGGCCTTTGAGAATTCCAGCATACGTTGAGAAAAGATCTCACCGCACTCATCAAGATACGGCTCGTAGTTGACGAGCGATGTCATTGAGAAGGCGTGGGCAAAGAAGCGTCTGTTGTGGGCATGGCGTTTGATGGACTGATCGGAGAAAATGTTCCACCATGTGTCATTTGGCTGAAATGAGGAGTACCAGATCGACTTGGGGAACTGGGTTCCGTGACCGTAGATAGTCTTCGATGCCTCAGCGTCATTGATGCTGTACCGATTCGGGCCGTATCTGACGACTGGGCCTAGTTGGGTGCATTTCAATCAGCAAGTGCCACGCAAACAAGCCCAGCGTCTCTGTACATAGACGTACCATATTTTTCATGAAGAGCAATGTTGACCTTTTCGAAATTGCCTTGCTTGATGCGGAAGAAATACCAAATATCTGTAAAGCGCGCCAACAGAGGCCCAGGGATAGACCGCAAAGGAGAGCGCACCCAATTGAACAGTGCTGCAGCAACGTAGAAAAATAGGCCAAATGCCACTGCGGCCAGTAAAAGTTGATTATTCATGTTGCGACGTCAAAGATGCTGAAAAGATTGGATGAACTGCTTGCTTGTCAAAGCTGGTGACATGAACTGAATCGATGCAGCTCTGAACATTCTTCGCGAGGAGCTTTATAGGTGACGGCATGTCTCATTTTTTGAGTTTCATTTCTCCAGGTCTCGTGTGGTCATGAAATGCTTTTGCGCGGACTGATACGCAATTGATGCATCACGTTCATGGGTCGCCTGTTGCGTAAAGGCGTACGGCTTAGAACACCAATTGGTCGTTGGCGATGGTCGAGTCATAGCGCCCCCGAAAAGCCCCAACAAGCGGACGGCGTGGAAAATGAGCTGGCCCCGTACGACGATGGCCGGCGGCGAATAGTTGGTAGAACAATAATAATACTGGTGCTTGGCCTGAGACCTGGGCTGAAGCGAGTGGATCATACGGCAGCAATACAACCTCGGGTGCTGATCCTTGGCAGGCTATCGACGTCAACTTCCACACCGCCTAACTTTCCACCCGGGTTGTGTAAGAGCTCTCATTACGCGTCGGTGATGATGACGCTCTATATTTTCTCAGGAGTGAAGCCTGGACTGAGAGGCAATCCGCTGTCCGCAGCTTGCGAAAGCAAGAACGTATTGATGGCACATTGAAGTTATCGGATTTTGCCATCATCTGCCGAAGCTGCACGGAGCGCGTCGTGGTGATGGCGGGCACTTAACTTTCATGGAGGGACCTGGGGCAACACCCGGAAAACGAAAGTTGTCCGAGACCGAGTTCGATCCGTCTTATGCTTGACATTCATCAAGGCGGGCTGGCCCCGCACGGGGTGCTCCGGTGAGCGGGGCTGCGTTCGAGCCGGGATTGCGGACCGGAGGCTATTGGATGCCGCGACCGAAGGTCAACGGCCATTGACTACTCTCGACCCCCCGCTGCACTTTTATCTTTGAAAAATTTCTCTTTTCAATGAACAACGGAAACTCGAAAACCATGAGAGGAAGGGGCCTCAGAATGTCATCCCTGGTGAGCTGAGTGTCCTGAACGCAGCTTGCGGCTGCAAGCGGAGACGATGGTGTAACATTGTATAGGCATACCTGTTACGAGATCGACATATTGATGCAAAAGTTCACGTGAACTCTTAAGGCTAAGATTCGACGAATAACAAGCTGCGTATTGATACTTGCGAATTGCCAACGGTGGCTTGCGGGCCGCGGAGACCGCGTACATCGCCGGCTTTCCTCTCGTCTTTAGTACGTAGCCGGAGTAACACTGAGCCGGCCACCATCCGTCAAGACGCAGTTACCATTGCAGTATGCGCCGGCTCGTGAAGCTAAATACAGTAGTGGTCCCATGATATCTTCCGGGAGGCCTGCTCTCTCAGCAGGTATTTGATCCAAGGGAAAAGCTCCCTCGGTCGTCGGATCTGTGCCGTGAATCAAGCTCGTCGTGAGGTCAGTCGGGAACACTGGCTAAGTTAGCAATTTTGACCAGAGATATTTCTTTTTGTGTGGAAACTTACATCCTGGGCATAGTACATTGGCTCGGATCCTGTACGGCACTAGATACGTCGCCAGAACCTTCAACATCATCGTCGTTGCCGCCTTACTAGTGCCGTATGCGAATCCAGCAGTGATCTTCCTGTTGAAGCTGCCAATACTGCTGGTTGCAATGACCTGGCTCCTTCCACCCTGATAATTGGACCGATTGCCTTTGTCCAAGAGTCCCAGGAATGATATCGCCGTGTAAAATACAGCAGTGCAATTGACGTGATACGTGTTAGTGAACTCCTCCATTGGGATCTCCAAGAGAGCGTTTTGAACTTGCGCAATCGAGGCGCCCGGGGGCACGTTTCCGGAAGGTCCGGCAATACCTGAGTTGGCAACGAGCAGGTTTATATACCCGACATCTTTTTCAATCATCGCCACTGCGTCCTTGAGGCTTTGGCGGTCGGTCACATCGCATTGGATTGGTACAACGTTATCACAGCCCTGCCATAAGTCAGCGGGCATTGGACTATTGGCGATCATCGGGACGCACAATTTCTTTTGCAGCATCATCCAGCACCTTTCTTCTTCTGCCGAGTATGTAAACTTTCTTTGCGCCGTTTTCTGCTAACGCTCGTGTCATGTAGAGTCCTAGCCCTGCAGGAATTGTGATTAGCCACCCGAGTGATAAAAGAGCCATTGTTGAAAATATACCACTGCCTCCGCCTGTTACAACAGCCACGATCCCACGAATATCAAAAAGACTGCCTGATTTGTAGGATTGAGACATGGTAGATATGCACGACTTCAGGCCAAAGTCTTGAGGTTCGATGCGAAAAGACGGTTAGATGGGTGGATTGGAGGTGGGAAGTCATGAAGAAGTGAGGGAAGTGAGGGAAGTGAGGGAATCGGCAATCTACCAAGTGAAGTGAGTTGGTCATATGTCCTTGTTTTATGACTAAAATTTCTAGCATATCTGACCATGTCTTTTCTACGTTGATAGTCCTTGTTCGCGGTGGCCTGCCAAATGCAGTCCGCTCGACCCCCACACGACTACTGCGGGCGAAGTCGGCCGAGGGCAAATGGAGGCTAGCTTCCCATACCCATCAAGCTTGACATATACCAAGTGGTCTCTCATGGAAATCTCTCAAGTGAAGTCAAGGGAAGGTTATCGCGACCCTCTCAGTTATGCAAGCGCGGGGGTGTAGGTGTTCTGGGGAACTCCGGGGGCCCGGGCCGGGACTGCGACCAGCTCCACTTTGCGCACCGGAGGAAGCTGTCAAGGAAGGAAAATGACAGTGCCCAAGGCCTTGCATCTCGCTGTTTAAATTTCCTCTCAAAATACAAGCAAAGAAAAGCGAAAATGGGAGATGAAGTGTGCTCCTTGACGCTAACAGCTTTTTTTTGGGTTCTTCCAATTGGAAACTCACGTTCTCTTTGTACTCGTCGCAGGCAAGAAGACGTAGGTCAGAAACAGTCGAATATAGCCAAGGGACTAACGCGATCGAAAACAACGTGAATGTATTGATGTTAATCGTCTTTGACGCTTGTGCCCCTACAAATATCTAACCCGACCAAAACTCCTCGCGTTGACAGACCTCTCCAGCCCCAGCCGATAACCCGCATCAGCAGTGCCACCTCCTAGTTTAGTTGCGTCCGGTATCCACCGACGTCGGAGAAGAAGCTTAAAGCGAGCGTATATACAGGAGCAACCTATAAACACATGCAATTTGTATTCGGTACCTCTGCGCTAAAAATGCACATTCTGTTGCGGCACACTTTAAGCAACAGGGGGCAGGGCCAAGTTGGCGGGGATCCTTCCGGCGGAGCCACCGGCCACGTTCTTTGCGGGTACGTTTTGCTGAGATCCCTTGGCGGCCATCTTGTAGGCCTGTACGTCCGCGTCCGCCTTACTGTAAGATTGTTAGCACTTGTCTCAAACGCCTTTGCACATGAGTGTCTTACGGGTTGATGATCATAACCATGCCGAGTTGGCAGTGCATGCCCTGGGCGCAGTACAAGAGCATCGGCTCGGTGTTCTCAACCTGAACGTTGAAAGTTCCGATGGGGGAGCCGTCAGTGACGCCGGGGATGAAGCCGCTGTGAACAGCGTTGGGCTGCATGTCCCCAAGAGGCAGGCATGGTGCTTGAACGTTCGCAGCCTGGGTAACGGTGTGGTTGTTGGGCCAGAATTGGAACTGAACAATGTCGCCGGGCTGAGCTCTCACGATCTCAGGATAGAAGAGCAACGACTTCTCGCGGGTCGGGCTACCAACGAGGACTGGGATGACCTTAGGAGTAGGTCCGGGAGGAGCACCCGCCGGAGGCATGGGAGCAGGAGCAGGTGGTGCCTGGCGCTCTGCAACAGGGTCAGCTCGGGGTCATAGCACGTTGGCCTCGTGGCTTCGTCCGCTTACCCTCAATGGCAGCAGCCATGGACGCGCCGATGATGGCGGAAAAGTAGACGACGACCGTATTGAACTTCATGGTGACAGACGGAGACCCGTGGGCTGGATGTTGATTACTAGAGACGTTGATTCGATATCGCAACAAGAACGCTAATGATCCTCCGACGACCAAATAGTCAGGAGGAGGGCCCTTTGATATTTAAGCTACTGCCCCTTTGCACTGCAGAATCTAAAACGAATCGCACTCGCAGGAAAGCATCGCTCCTGCACTCGCTGACTAGAACGAAGCTTTTCTCTCTTAACCTTCCGCACTGGGCTAAATTCTCCCGATCATGAGACCGACTAAGCCCTTCAAAACGGACGGACATTCATCTTTTTTCTCGGTTTGCTGCCGCGATCAACAGGGGTAGCAAGTGAAGCTTGGGGCTCCCGAGAGATGGGATGACCGAACTGCCCAATAGGACGTGCTGAGTACCTCAAACGTGCCATGTTTCGTTTCTTCGGCCACACTCCCTACCGAGCTGGCTTTCTGCTTAGAAATGAAGAAGAATATGCAGAGATGCTGCTTAAACATGCGGTGGGAGGGGCGGCACTTCGCTCTTTCGGAATGGAGGGGGAGCCGGCCAGTCAATAATCTGTCTGGCTGTGTCAGGGTGGCCCAAGATTGGACGACAAGCGCAAGGGGCGAAGCTGCGGGGGATAGCTTATCCTCGCTCACCGGCCGCGGGCTTACAGGAGTTGGCCCTTTTGACTATAGAGTAGAGTTATGACCGGATGAAACGGTTGCGGAGTCGTTTCGAACACTCACGAGGCGTTGGCCGCCTGCTGGCTCCATCACGACTTTCCGCGGTGGGGGATCTCCGAGCGTCCAGGAGCATAGGGGAGCGGGAGATCGGCACAAAGGGCACATTAACCTGCACATCTTATGGCATTGCGGCTCTCGGAAGATACTTCCCACGCGCGCGGGAGACAAACTTGGTCTTGACGTCAACTGAGTTTTTGGGCTGAAAGCGGGAAACGGTTCGATGTATGTTAGGGTCGTGCGCACGTCTTGATCGTGTCAAAATCACGATTGTATTACCATATGCGATCACTTCAATCCAGTGAGCCTGATCTATTCTATCCAACATGTACGCCATCTAATTGCAATATCCGGTAACTTGGTACCACCCTGTTCCAAAAGCCGATGCCCTATTATTTCTCCGCATCTCCGTCTGTTTGGCTTTTTGCATCCGTCTTCGGCTTGTTCTCTTTGACGCTCTTCCACTCGAAAAAAACAATTCCGAGCACTGTTAAACATCCGAGAACAGTCGCAATGAGAAACACGTTTTGCAGTGCCTTGTTGTACGACTCGATGATGCCGTCCACCGAATCGGGGTAGGTCTTGCGCATAGAGTCCACCAGCCCCGATGCTCCGGCGTTGATGACCACGGCCGGATTTACGTTGGGGACGTTTCGGCGGAGCTCGGCGACGAGTCGCGAGCTGAAGATGTTTTGCGCAACGGCTAGAAACACAGTACCACCCAGACTCTGGAGGAACACCAAGACCGAAGTAGCGAGGGCGATGTCGCGCCCCTTGAACACGGTTTGCGCGGCAATGATGCACTGCTGCCCTCCCAGCCCCACTCCCAATCCCATTAGGACGAGTGAAGCAGCCCTGAGGCAGATGTTAGCACATTGGGCAGACTGAATCGGGAAACGTAACAGGCCATACCAGAACGCCGTGTCAGTGTCGACGGTAAACGAATAGATCAAGCCACCGGCTACGGAGGAAATGACAGATGACGCGATGATTTGCGGCACGTAGTAGCCAATTTGACTCGTCTAATGGTTTATCAGCATGAAGTGTCAACGTCGTCAAAACGGCGGAGGGACGTACCAAGATCCCGGACACGATTGTCGCGACAGACATCGAGGCCGATGATGCGAGAAGGTCGATGCCACTCTTGTAGGCTGAGTGGTTCTTGACAGCCTGCAACCAGATCGGGATGTAGTAGACATCGATAAAGAGAAGAGAGAACAAGAGTAAGATTGTCCAGCATGAGGCGATCATGGTTCGCTGAGACATGATGCGAAGAGGAACGGTTGCCTTGTCGCCCTCGCGATATTGGACGAAGCCCCACAAAAGAAAACAGACCGCGAAGATGCACCAGCAGAGGATGATGCGCCAGTTGCTCCATGCGTACTCGGTTCCGCCCCACTGTAGTGCCAGCAGAAGACAGATGACCCATGGAATGAGGAGCAGTGTTCCGACAAGGTCAAAGTTGTCCATGAACTCTTTGAAGCCTCTTGGTTCTTTCTTTGCCTGTTCGGGAAGCCTCAGAAAGAGGAGAATCACAGCGAAAGTTACACCTCCCAATGGGAGATTGATCCAAAAGCACCATCCTGCCACAAGTCAGCAAACAGAAAATCATTCGAATTATAGCAGCCAAGATCATACTCCAGGTAGCCTTGTCAACGAAGACGCCGCCGAGGGTCGGCGCGACGACCTGAGAAACTCCGGCAGCGGCACCAATCGCGGCGGTGAAAGTGGGCCGTTTATGAAGCGGTACACTCTTGGTAATGATCTAGATCCTTGTCAGCCGATGCTTGCGGCGGCCGTTGAAGATCCCGAAACCTACAATTAAAGCCCCGGTCATCAGGCCGGCCGCACCCACTCCGGAAACCGCTCGTCCGACGATGAGAACGACGGAGTTCGGGGCCGCGGCACACACCACTGACCCCACCTCGAAGATGGCCAGCCCGATCAGGAAGATCCACTTGATGCTGTACTCGGCATAGAGCTTTCCGAAGAGGAGCTGAAAGGAACACTGTGTGAAGAGGTAGGCAGACCCGTACCACGCTACGTCGGACAGCGAATTGAACTCTGAAGTGATTTTAGGAATTGCAGTAGCCAAGATTGACCGGTCCTATGGGGGACGAGGTGTCGGTAAATTGATAGCACTAAAAGTTGCTTGGCTGTCGAGAACTTACTAGGCCAAAGCAGAGAATAGCAAGAAATAGACCAATCGAGATCGCCGTAAGGGCCGGGCCGCTGGGATAGACTTCGATTATTTCGTCTTGGCTTTGGGCACCCTGTTCCGACTCCGGTATGTCCGTTTTCTCTGAGGGTGTCCTCAGTGCTGGTGTAGCGTTGACCGGCCTGGTGTGATGTCACTCGTGAGCAGGTGTTCCGCTGCCGAGCCGCTAAGGACCTCCGCAAACTTACATGTTTTCGGCGGGAAATGCTCCGGAAGACGCCATTCGAATGAATATTATCGTTTGCGCTGGTGTTCAAATATGGGAGTTTAGATGTTCGATGTCTAACGCTAAGTTGCCTGTGCTTTTCGAGTATTTGTACTTTTCTTGGCCATCTTGAGAAAACAATCCCATCTTCTTGTATTGATCCTTATGCCTGGACATTCTGACTGCCCTCGACATCGGTCCGTACGGGAAATAGCCCGTCAGCAAGTTTTGGTAATTAGTGGGCTAATCCGAGACCCGCTCCCACGAGATCTCCTAGGAACTTTGGTCTGCTTCTACCCTTTGAGCCCAGCCACATCCAATTTGTGGAGGTCTGCTCCATTTTCGCTTCAGCCTCGACAAGCAGCAGATCTCTAAATGTTGCAGCAAAGGAGGTCATGTCCGAAGGCACTCATGCAAATTGGTGGAAGATGCTGCCTAGCGCTGACCCTTGTCCCGCCCAAAATGGCTCCCTAGCCGGGGTTAACACGGGTGAAAGTGGGAATTTGCGTGTCCATCGGCGGTCGGGTGTTAACTTACCACCCGACTCCGTGTTCGCATCCCATCATCTGCCCAATCAGATGCTGCCAATCTCTCCCGATCTTCGACATACGGGACTTAAGACTGACACCGGTCCCCGATCTTTGACAGCTTTCGTCCGTTCCTAGCTACACCGTCATCCGCGACCTTTTTGCGATTTCCCCGTTGCTTGAGATATGCCATTTTGAGCGCCAAATTCACAGAGCACACGTCGTCATTGTTGTTTTATCGGTCTTAAGATGACAAATATTTCTCCAGAAGAGGAGGGCAGTAGCCCGGAGTTCATTGCGAACGCGAAAAAGCTCCGAGCTTGCAGCAACTGTGCGCGCCTCAAGATCAGATGCAGGTGGCCACCGGCCACGGAACATGGTGAACCAACCGATTGCACAAGGTAGGGAGAGATTGCAGAATCCGTTCTGGGTACTCCATGAATGACTTGCAGAGAGCTAACACAAGCTAGATGTTCTCGGATGAACATCCGCTGTCGGGTGCCGGAACCAGTACCCAGAAAGAAACGGGGAAAGTCGAGGTAGGTCTTTTTTCGTCCTCTTCTGGTCCCTTTATGAGCGTCGAATTCAGATATCTTCGTGCCTTCTGGCATTGCTGTATTGGTCATCTGGGGTCCCTTGCGTACGCTGACAACTCCTCCCCAGTCGAGTCACCGAACTAGAGAAGAAAATCGATGGCCTAGTCAATCTTTTCCAAACTCAACAACAGACCAAGCAACATGGAGCTCAAGCTCTTACTCCCGCTACCAGTTCATCGACTTATGAAGAAAACCAGCTGCGTGGACTACTGCCTTGCGCCGGGCTCCCCATGCCTCAACCTGATACCGAAGCATCCTCCAATGCTGTCACCCCTGACCCTCACTGCAGCACTCAACACACCCCAGATGTCGGTCCTTCGAATACCTTGCAGTTGGTCCCTGGACTCTCCCTCACCATGGATCAAGCCGAAGAATACCTCAACATCTACCGCACTCGCATGGTCCCACACTTCCCCTTCATACCTATCCACGTCAATGTGACGGCACGGGAGCTCCATTCCCAAAAGAGGTTTCTTTTCTGGTGCATCATGCAGGCTCTAATTCCTCAGGAAGCCCCTGTCCAGAAGGCGGTAGATGATTGGATTCGGCACCATGCAGCAGTGCATATTATCGTGAACAGGGAGAGAAAGCTTGAGCTGCTACAGGGCCTGCTAATCTACATTGCCTGCTATGCTTGGTGAGTGTGCCTCTCCTCAGTCTTGCCCAGTTGGGGTTGCTGACCTTTGTCTTCGTATACAGGGGTGACGTCCATATCCACTTGGGCATGAGTGCCAACGGCCTACTGCAACTTGCCATAGGCATGGTCTCAGACATGAGCATCAACACTCTTGCTGGACCACTAGCCTGGATGCCCAAGACCATGTTGTCGGATGCATGGGCTGTTATCAGCAAAGGAAAACACTTCGAAACCCCAAAACAGACTCTAGAGGAGCAGAGAGCGGTCTTGGGAGGCTACTTCATTGCATCTAGGTATGAACCTCAGTTCCAATTCTAGCTCGTTCCGAATCAATGCTGATCTAGTGATCCATAGCGTGGCGATTTCAATGCGAAGAAGCCCCCAAGTACAATGGTCTGCACATATGGCGCGGTGCTGCAGAAGCATCCGTGAAGCTGGAGAGTTCGCAACGGACTCAAGCTTGATTGCCTTCGTGCGCATGCAACATATAACCGATCGTCTGAGATCTTTGTTCCCAATTTACGACAGAGACGAGGACACACCTGCCCCATTCTTCAAGGAGCACTACAGCGCAATATTCTCGTCCGTACGAAAGGAGATTGAGGACCTTCAGAAAGAGGAGCCTGGCATAAACAAAGATAACCGTAAGTGGCTCTTTCTTTCACGCCGGCAACATCTGCTTACCTCATTTCTCCTCGCAGCTCTTGTTTGGTGTCATTACGTGACCCTACCAGTCAGACTTTACGAGCCCGCACTGGGCATGCGACCAATGAGCCCAGCAGATACAGCGTCGCCGACCGAGCCGTACAGCCGGACTGAAGCCCTCTGGAAATGCCTCGAGTCTGTTCAGGCCGCCATGGATGCTTTACTGTCTATACCTGCAGAGATATATGCATACCTGCCCTTCACCCTAGTCTCAGCCACCGCCTTCGTAATGATGGCAGCGAACCGGCTTCTTTTGGAAGACGGCAGCCCCGACTGGGACGTTACTATCGCTCGGCAAAAGATTCCACACGCGCAAAACGCACAACGCATGGCAGACAGGTTCGAAGAGGCGGATAACGTTGCCCTTGTTGTCGGCCAGAAGAGGCGCCTTTTTGAAGACCAGACGTCTAGATGGGCTAACTATGCCTACCGTGCACGATGGATGAAGAACTGGTATTTGAGCAAAGTGTCTCCTCCGCAGCGGGAGCCGTCCGCTGAGCAACCTCCGAATACCGCGGAGGGTTCAACGAACGACGCGAGCATGTCTTGGGTGGACGATGTCACCATGGACAAGATGTTCTGGGGACAGATGATTGTGGATGGATTCGGCCAGATGCCGTATGACTTTCAGTTCGGTAACGATTCGATGCAGACCTTGCAGGGCATCATGTGGCAGGATGGGATGAGCACGACTGAGACGATGGCCATGGCGAACATGATACCCCAGTAGTAATTTGTTAAACTGCGATATTACTTGACTTCAAGTTTGAGATTTACGGTACTATTATTCATAGATGCACAAACCGCGAATGACGTCCGTTGAGAGTTTCAACGATTCAAAATTTTATCCTTTATTGGCTTATAGCCATCGCGCAATCACCAAAGTTGTTCATCCCGCACCATTTGCTGCAAGTTCGCCGAACTTCCAGGAATTTCAGCCTTCAGCTCCATCGCCTCCATCACTCTGCCACTGTTCATAAGATGCTTAGCCAACTTAACACGAGTCAGCAACGCGGTACTTGAATACCGTAGCTTATCACCCCCTGTCGCTTTGGTCTGGGCATAGTCTGTCGCCTCAATTGCCTTGTTCAAGCATTCAATGCCAGAGTGTGTGTTGCCTGATGCCTCATGGAACTTTGCCAGGAAGCTTGTCGTCCTGCCATACAGCCTCAACGACCAGCTATCCCAATTCTGTAAAGGGCCGTTGTTGTTTGCGACAGCTAAGCGAGAAAGATGGCGATGACACAGGGTCAAGAAGTCGGGTGACTTGTGATTCATCAGTAGTGAAGTCGCGACCACGCGACTGTGCTCCACGCGAGTAACCTCAACGCTGTTGGTCCCGAATTTGGAGTTGGCTTCGTCAAGGAGAGCTTCATAGCTTTCCAGAAGGCCAGACCAGCTTCGCACACGTCTCTCATCATCGTGACAATTTATGGCTTCAACAGTAGCCTCAATGCTGTGCAAGTCGGCACGCCCTCGAAGACCGATATACTCATCCATGATTAAGGTTCGAAGTCGCTTCATATAGTCCAATAGATCCTCGTGGCATGAAGTCGCAATACCGAACATGTCCTGGGCAACCCGGTGGATGGGCTGGCCCCGTTGCTTGATACCCAGCATTTCTGAGACAAGTTGCAGATAGGACTGAAGTATTCCGTGATCAGTGAGTAGATGCGGGATCTCCAGAAGCAACATATGGAAGGTTGCAATGGGCTCCTGGGTGAGAATGCCTTCGATCCCTTGAAAAGCTTCTTGGAATATAGTCCCGCCTCGTTTAAAGTCTTTGATGTCGAAGAAATATGCCCCGAGTCGTGTCAAAGCTTTAAAGTGACGCCCGGGGGTTGGGAGGTAGTTGAATCAAGCGCGTCGGTGCCACTCGGGGTCCTGACGGCAAGCGCCTTGTATCAAATCGTGCAAATTCAGAAGAAGCCCATAGGACAGCCGATCCTTCTCTGTCCCATACAAGAGACTAGTTGATGTCATGGGAAATGGATCTGTCTTTTGGCTTCCGGTGGAAGTTCGGCTCAGATCGGGGCTCAGGCGCCTACGGCGTGTTCTTTGACACGTCATCTCGCCTTCGACCATTTCCACCCTGTCGCCGTTGAGCTGGCTTTGTCGAAGACCCTTGGAGTTGTATTTCCGCCATCTCCACTTCATGAACTGCCGCTTATACATCCTCTCCCTGGTAGAGACAATCAGATGCCATTGCATGAGCGAGTCATAGTTTCGAGGATACTTACGTTGCCATGAAGAGGTGCTGTTGGTTCATAATAACAACAATCTCCCTTAGAGGCTTGTTTTCTTTCAGATACAATCGCTGCAACGTGTCCTTCTTTGCATCCCAGTGTTGTCCAGAACGGGGTCTTTCTGACCTCTGCGCGCCATGTAGCATCACCGAGCTCAGAGATTCCATGTTTGTGGTATTGGGTGACTGTTCGAGGCATAGCGTAGTTGATATTCTATTCTTTGGCTCAGTTATCGCGTTCGAAACTGGCAGTTTGGGCCCAGAGGCAGTTCGTTCTCGCAAATCGTGCGCCGTCTTGGTCGTGCTCGAGTTTCAGTCCGTCAAGTCTTTCCAAGAAATTTGAAGAAATCACGTTGATTTTACCGAGTTCCGGAAGAATACCGACGGTTTTGGCAGTATTATCATTATCGATGACCGTCATGGGACATGTAGAAGAGCTTAAAAACTTTGTATTCGGTGGGCGGGCCCCCCATTCTTAAATCAACGGAGCGCTCAGTTATTCATGGCGAATTCTAAAGTGGAAATTCTACCCCCACGACCCTGTCTGGTGACACGGCGGAAGATTTCCGTTTCTGGCGGGCTGATCATCCTTCAGCTGCATGGACCTTCTATCTACTGGCCACCACAAGATGTGCGCCGCAGACGTGCATGACAGTCAGCAAAGGTGGGACCATCCCCATTACAGACGTGCAAACACCATGGGAATAGCCTATTCGAATTGTTTATTCAATCTGATGAGCATTAAAACCAGTTTTGTTCAGAGTGGCCGAAGTAATGCTACCAGTATGGTTATTGATCGAACGCTTAAGAGTAAATCTCACTGCAGTCTAACAATACAGTCAAACACCAAGTTCTCCCACGTTCCACTTACATACCAAGATATCCACTCGTGGTGGTGATCAGTCGCACCTGAGGAAGTGTCCACAACATGCCATGTTGTAGCGTGTCCTCGAGTGCCGTTAGCCCATCTGTTTCTAAAAGGTTTACTGAGTTCGACGGTTGAAATGCGGAGGTTGAGGACACTGGCTTCTGTCCAATTCCTGGAAAAAACGTTGATAACTTGTCATTCCAAAGTTTGAAGTCGGCACTAGCATCGAGGAACTGCTTGAGAGAAGACAATCTCATCGCTGTCCAAGACGAATCTCCAAAGGAGTTCGACCCAGACAAACCATTGCTGCCCAGCTCCACGCCTGCTGCAAGCATACCGAATTTCAATGCGTCAGGTGATCCTTCTGGATAATGTTTGGTTTCGAACTCATTCGTCCGCCAGTTCGGGATATTGCGTAACATAGCGTCCAATTGAGCGAGCATCTCAAAGTCATCCCTGTATGAGTGATGAAGTCTTGTCGGCTCCGTCACTGAATCATCAATGTTTCGTAGCAGGGCAACCTTCTGGGGCAAGCTGTATGGGTCTCCACTCTCCGCAGACACACAAGCCGCAACCCCATCAACTGTGTCCAGGTATGTGGCTCTCAGACTCAAAATGCCTTGATCACTAAGTCCAAGTTGACGCTCCCAAAAGACGTCCCAATTCACTTCCGGGATATCAGCTCGGCTCCTCCTACGGAAGTACACCGCGAGACCCCACCCTAGATCGTAATTAACCGACAGGTCCACTACCCAAGACGGTACCTGCAAGCTTTGGGGTTCTCTGCGTATGTCGAAACTCCTGATAGCCTTCCTGGCACGAATCAATGCGATCGCTGCATCGATCGAACCTTGTCGAACAGTCTTGTTATAGTCAACATTGATTCCGAGATATAAAGATGGCTTCAATAGGCCGAGCACTCCGTATAGCTTATCTAGAGGTAGAGACGATCGAGCCAAGAGCCCTAGTGTAATCAAAGTGTGTTCAGGACCCGTCCCCCACTCGTCGGGTTCAAGTTGGAGTTGACTTTGATAGATCGTTGAGAGTAGCAACAGTGATCTCGGGATGATCCCCGCGTGCTCGTTATCAGTTGACGAACTTAAAGTGTACTCGTTATCAGTTAAAGAACTTAAAGTGTGCTCGTTATCAGTTAACCAACTTGGGTCATGTGTCAAATCGTTGACAATCTCTTCTGCAGACCAAGACAATCGCGCGAACGAGATCTGTGAGGGACCTACTCGTACGACTGTCTGGCTAGAGCTGATAGTGAGCTCCTGAATAATCCAAACCCGACTCCAGTAACCGAGGAGAAATATGGGAGACAGCAGAGCCATGAGGCGTTTCTTGGCGGCCGTCTTCGTGAGCCCGGCGAAGGTGGTAGGGCGCTCTGCAGGATCGAACAGAGAAATCATGGCAATTGCTTCCTTTGATACTGCCAGGCTTTCCTGGGTTTTCAGATCATGCTTGTCCAGAGATTCTATTTCAGACGAGGCAAGCTCAGTTGATGTTGATTGTAAACTGTCTGTCGAAGAGTCACCCGAGAGCGACAACTGACCGACATTGTCCATGAGACGCTCGATGAGGTCAAAGTAGACTTGTGTATCTGCGCCTTTGAGGTCAATGGAAAGACCGAGCCAGACCATCGACTTGATTGCAGTGCTGAAAATCTCATTCATTCTTTTGACCTCGGCAGCTCGCTCGTCGAGGTCATCCTGATTGATACAGATCGCATCCGCCCAAAGCATCCGCTTCCGGCCTTCCACAAATGCTTTGCTTCTCCGAAACTCTTGCAGTGCGAAATAGAGATTATCTTGAACGACGAATGGCTTGTTGTTGACGTAGATAATGTGCTGTGTATTCGATCCGTTCTCCCATGTGTAGCTGATGGTCTCGTAGTCTCCCCACACGAATCTATCGGGAGTGGGCGTGTCGTCATCTGTACGTTCAGCCTTTTCGCGCGAGAAATGTTCCCACTTCTCATAGAGAGTAGTTGGCGAGTAGGGCCAGTAAATTGACTCGGCTCGAAAGTCGGTATATTCAGGGGTCCAATCTTTTAGAGATACCGTTTTCATGGTGCACGTAAGGGTTCCATCAGGAACGCTGTCTCGAGGCGTATTGCTGCCGTCATGCTTGTGCAAGTCTGAATGGATCGAAATGAGACGAACTTCCCGGCGCGAGGCCTTTAGAGGAGTGTACATGGTTGACATATTGTTCATGATTTGGTTGTCATTGGGGAACGTGTCGAGTAATGTGTTTTTGGGTTCGTGATATCAGGCAGTCACGCGTTGGAGGATCAGGCTGCACTCTTCTGTCGGATTCCACTTCTCGGCAGACTCGTGACTGATTACATGTGTGGCTGACAAGATCTCCTTTCACTGGCTGGATGCCCCTGTCCTCCCTAATATCCTTGGTGTTCCTGCCTTCCCTTAGTACCTACCTGACTACCAACGCCTCGGTGAATTGACTCTATGAATTTTGGCATCCGGGCGGAACGAATAAGAGGATATTGGTAACCATCATTTTTTATAGCAACGATATATGATAATAGTGACGACGGCGACAATGATAATAATGACGATACTAACGATGACAAAGACGACGAAGACGACGGCGATAAAATGAGATTAATCGTGATGATAACAATAGTAGTAACTATGGCTGCTAAATAAATAAGAGCTATGAATAACAGTCTGCCCGGTTAGCTGGATATATCCGCCCGCATATCAAAACTCTTCTATACCAGAAGCAACAACACAGCAATCAAGCCCGACACCGGAGCCACCATGCGGATTGCAGCGTTCGTAGGAGAAGGAGTGGAAACGACCGTGGGAGACGGATCTGTGATTGAGTTTTCGTTTATCGCGATACTGGCAGCTTGGATGCTCAGACCCGAAGAATTGAAGCAGTTGCTCTCGTTAACCGGGGCGATCTTGGACTCATCCCCTGTGAAGATGATGTCGACGCACTAACCTGCAATTAGCAAGCCATCCGGCATTCTCGATGACACTCGGGAAAGACTTGCGCTGAAAAGAGCACCTCCATGTCTCGCTGCCTGGACGACTTGTATCGTCGCCAAATCACCTTCCTTTGGCTCAACGCTTCTCGGGAGAGGAACATGCGGCAGACAGACTGTACCGTCGTAGGCTTCGTTCGTGGGACCGGTGAGGTGGAACATCGGAACCACGACGGTGGTGAAGTTTGATGGCACTTCGCCGAGGCCGATGTTGACGTACATAAGAGCACTCTGGTGGCCGCTGTTGTAGCCGGGCTGGACGGCGATGGCACCGCCTTCGAGGGGCCAGTGGGTTCGGTTCTGGGTTACGTTCAGGCCGCCACCTTTTTGATGTCATGTTAGATATCTATATGTCGGGCTTGATTACGCGGGCGCAGTGTTTAGCAGAACTCACATGGATACATCCATTGCATCCCGAACGGGAACGTCTCATTCGTAATAATGTTGTTTCCTCTCCATCCCGGATACGAAATTTCGACATGTGCAGTTGCCAAGGACGCAAACGACCCTGCGAGGACAGTGACTGATGTGAATCCGCTCTTCATGTTAATGTTTCTTCAATACCTGAATAACGTATTTAGACAGAACACTACGCAACGGCACCTGTCCATCGGGAAAATCCACATTTATAAGCAATCCCCCATCAAAGAGCCTCCTCCCCAGATACCCCGCGGGGAATCCTTTGACGTAGCCTCTGCATGGAGGCGATGTCAGCATCAGCACGAGCTGCCAAATATGGCTTTCCACAACTTCTTTGTGCCGACACACATGCACACCGTTGGACCGAATGAAGACGGTTGGATTTAGAAAACGCACGTCAGCCCTACCGACGACCGGGCGCCGAATGGCTGAGCCGGTGGCTTACGCCGCGCGGGCTGCTTATTGGAGCTTCGGTGTTTGGGAGGGACGTGGCTGCTTCTGGACACTACCATCCTCAGAAGACAAACCGGGCTTGATTTGAGTTGAGGAGGATGACTTTTGTTCGAGGTTCGGGTCAGTTTAGGGTTTTGATGCTACAGCCTGTTGTTCCTTCGGGCTTGGGCTGGAGGCGAGCTAGATGCTTCGGATCTACTCCGAAGGCAAGTTCGAATAACCTTTCTTCAGCTGGCCTTATTCTCCCGAAAATGGTTTGCAGAATGACTCGGGGCCGCAGATCATGTCCATCTTCGAGAGGAACGCCGAAGTTCTATTGAAAGGCAAAAGTCCCGGGGCCGGATCGAGATAGACTCCCGCCGTTGGAATTTACCAAACCACTTCAGACGGGGATTCTCAATCTCACTTACATGCCTCATACAACGTAGAAAGCTACGACTGACCAAAAGTTGACAGTCACTAGCTGCACGGGGTAAGATCCTTATTGTCCTCCCCACTGCGACCTGCACGTCCTCAACTCGCCGCAATGCCAACAATGTGAAGCAACGTCAGCGCCCACCGCAGCGCATCCCTTCCAGGGCCACTCCGTCACGCTTCAAGCCAACACAGCTGCCAATCTCAGGCTGACACAGAGGCGGGAGGGGGCAAACGCCAAGCCCTGCAGCGGGACAGGCTCCGAACGACAGGCAAGACGGCGTCTGGCGCCGTCAGCACTAGCGCGACGCGGTGTGTAATGCATCGAGGCTGTGTCTAGGATGAACCAGTGCAACGTTGGAAATGCCGTTGGAGCCGTTACTCAGGACGTGGGGAGCTGAAAACCATAGCTGGAAAAAAAACAACAGCAAAAGGAAGAAAAGTCTGGTAGGCTAGCTGAAATATTCGGTTCTTCGGATGGCACGAGTTAAATGGGAAAAGTACCGTGCCGCTTAGTTGCCTGCAGGACGCGCTTGGACGTGAGATGAGCACCCCCGGCTTCGGGAGATTCGAGAATGCACGGCGGGTAGAGGCAGACAATGGAACATATTGTTCCCGTCCTGTTTGCAACAACGGCACTTCGCGTATGCCAAGCACTGTTTCGGTTCCTTCGCAACTCAGCCTCAAGACGCCGTTCTTGACTTTCGTCACCTCCATACGTTTCTTTGCTGTCTCTCTCCAGTAGGAGCAGGAAACTGGGGTAACCCAAGACCTGCGCGAATCCTTCAAAGCCAGCAAAACCACTTCCGTCCCATATTTCTCAACCATCAACAAATCACAGTGCAGACTACCATCAAAAGAATCCACGTTTGAAAAGCGGTCCTCGCAATCTCCCTCTTCGGAGTTTTTTACTGGTTAACTCGTCGCGCGGCATCACGCGAACGGCGGAGCCACACTCAACCTGAGGATGCTCAGCAGGGATGTGATGCCCATCTGGTCGCTGGTGGAAAAGGACTTTTGCCCCTCATCCCTGCTCCCATCTCTGTTAGACTGCAGAATCGCTGAATCAACGAACACTGCCTACTGCGTACGCAAAAAAGCTCGCCCTTTTCGCGGCCGAACAGCTGGACCGCACCACCTCGCGAAACCCACGACGCGCCCAGACCATCCTACTGGATATTTCCCACCTTTCGGGTTGGCGACAGGGGACGCGATCCATCACAGGCTACAGGGAGAGAGGGCGAGGTATGAGATACCGTCACACTGCACTGCACACCTTCGAGATCCCAAGCGGCCAAGCCCAAGCAGTGAATGACAGCTGCTCCTACTGCTGCTTCTTTACCCCTTTCCCGTGCCGCTGTGCATTATCTTCCGAATAACCACCACTCCCAAATTTCTCACATCCTCGCCATAGCTTAGCGTCCTACAAACCCCCTGTCCCAGGCACAAGACAAGAGTCCAGTTCGGTCCAATTCTCGACGGGAGGTACGAATATGCTCGCTCCCGTCGACCCATCATCCCTTCGCGGACCCACGGCACCGGGCGCGGGCGATCATTGCATCACGCCCTGCCGCGGCGTTCGCCCGGCCGGAGCAGGCAGCAGGCGCACACAGCACACGGCGCCAATTCAGGGGGGCAAACGAGATTGCCCGACTGTCTTGGTTGGCTTGGCTCCCTTTCCTATTCGCTTGGTCTGCCTGACGATGTCTGTATTTTGCCTGTATCCGTAGGTCGCCTAATCGGACCCAGTGAATGATTCTCTGGGGCTTTCAGTCACACACACCGCACCCCATCTGAGCCATATCGAATCGAGTAATCGTAGAACAAGGGTGTCTACATGAATCCAGCCGGTGACATGATATTAAAGAGCTGAACACATCCCGCCCCCCATCGTCTACCTCTTATTGTTTCTTCTCTCTCCAGCCCCAAAACCAAGCTGCCGTATAATCCCACAAAAAGACTTTAACCAGTCTCACCAGCTTCACCAGGTCACACTCCTTCACCACCAACACCAACACCAACCGCAACAATGCAGTCCAAGCTCCTCCTCGCCGCCACCCTCCCGGCCGCCGTCCTCGCCGTCCGCGACCTGTCCGGCACCCTCCCGCACGCCTTCCGCCGCGCCGAGGCCCAGCTCGCCGCCCGCGACGAGGCCGCCTGCCTGTCCGCCTACGCCGCCCACTCCACCGTCGTCGACGACTTCCCCGAGCTGCCCACTGCCCTCGCCACCTACACCGACGTCGACGTCCCCACCATCACCGACCCGTGCCAGTTCCCCTCCATCACCGGCTCCGCCGGCGCCCTCATCACCTCCTACTCCTCCGCCCTGCAGAGCTGGCAGGACGCCCACATCACCGAGATCCGCTCCCTCTACCAGGCCTGCTCCGACGTGCCCCAGTTCTCCAGCATCCTCGCCGAGTACGGCGACGCCATCTGCACGAGCGCGGCCGCGGTCATCACCTCCGAGGACGGCACGGCGTCGGCCTCTGCGACTGCTACCGGCTTGGTCACGGCTACCTCCAGCGGCAGCGGCGCCACCGGTGCTACTGCGACTGGCACCGCCGGATCTTCTGCGTCTGCGTCTGGTTCTGGTGCGTCTGGTAGCGCTGCCTCGACTACCGCCGTCCCTGCCGCCGCGCCCAAGGAGACTGGCCTGTTCGTCGCCGCTGCGGCTGCTGCTGCCGGCATCGTCGGTGCCGTTATGCTCTAAGCAACATCACGCCCAGAGTTGCTTCCAAAAGAACGAACCCTCGCTTGGGCTGGGATCTCACAGTCTCATTTCCCGAGCACCTAAAGTTTCTCGGAAGGAGAAAATAAAATCTCAAACTTTACCTGTAATTAATTCTTGTAACTTAACCTTACAAATCACACTTTGGGGAGTAAAATATACCCGGTCGACATTTAATCTTTATTTCAACCGCATATGTGGATTCACCGTGCTTCGACGACACCCGTGATATTCATTCATCAAGGGATTTACGGATATGCAGTGGCCAAAGCTCTGAAGTTTGCTGAAGAAAGGCCTTATGTCCGTTAAAGTGCCCCCTGGAGGCCCGGGTCGATGCAACCTGAAATTGCAATGTTATGGGTCCCTTCCCTCCCGATCAGCAAACATGGGATGATCCACGCAGGCACAGAACGAGCGTCCCCTGGTGTTGGTGCCCACGGTTCGGATTACCTAATGCTCTCCATCAAGTTGATCCTGAAGCTTCAATAGCTTCAGCTTGGCATGCGTTCGCGTCGAGGTGAGGTTGAAGCCATCTTTTAGTGTGTCTTGCACTCATGAGTCAAGTTTCGGTCCGTCTTCGCTGGATTTGGGCCTTACCCTCTACCGTTGATACACGACCTGAAGCAGTTATCCGTGGACACATCTATCCAAGAAAAGCTACGTGAACTTTGTAACTCTACATCCGCTGTGAGAATTGGAGGCAAAGAGTTGCGCTCGTAGATTGGTATCTTGATACACTTCAAACTAAAATATGTTCCCCTACTCCCCTAAAAAACAGACCCACCGCCCCCTTTTGATAGTACTCCAAAGTCAAGTCAGTTGAGGTAAGGACATCGCATCTTGAGCCAGAGCCCAAGCCAGACTCAGCATCTGCGCTGGTTGCTTACTTTGCAGCATGCTATGCCCTGCCAACCCAGCCAGCGTTGATGAAAAACTCAAAAATGCGTCCGCCCTTCTGCGAGTCCAGCCTGCAGATCTCCTTGGCCTGCTTCTTCTTCAGTGTACCGTTGCTCTTGAGGGCCTCCTTGAGAATCTGCTCCTTGATCATCAAGTATGGCTTGGGCTGCAACCGGACCACCTCGCAGAGCTTGGCTTCCTCCGGCGTGAGCAGGTGCAAGTCTGGCGCGGCCTCTTGTGTAAGGGTAAGGGGTGTGACGCCTGGCAGAGCCTGTGCCATGTACTTCTGTCGCGTGACGGGACCTGACGGGCCCGTTCCGTTTGCCACAATGACGGTGCCATTTGTTGAGGCCCCATTGACGTTGCCGTTGGTTTGAGGCTCGCTTTTCACGTCCGCGCCGTTAGTTCCATTGGATGGCGGTGCTGTCCGTATTGGCAGCTCGGGCTGGATAAGGAGTGCGGCTCCGCTTGGGGGATCGGGCACAGCGGCCGCCTTGGACCTTTGGGCCGACGCCATGCGCTCTCTGTCCATTGAGCCCATTGGTATCGCTTTCTGTGCCCTCTGCGCCTTCTCAGTCTCGAACTTCTCTCCGCTTCGAAGGTCACCAATGCGCAGACTCCTCCATTCTTGAA